CTCTACCACTTGAGCCACAGCGCCATTTCCGGCTTTTTTCTTTTTGCTTATGTGGTGCTGAGGAATCGAACCCAGGGCCTCAAGCACGCAAGGCAAGTGCTCTACCACTGAGCCACCTTCCCAGCCCTGATACTGTAACTTTTATTTCTAGCCTTGCATTATGTCTATCTAGTTACCATTTTCTGCCCAAATCTTCCAGTTCTTCAAGCATGTTTTCCAGTTCTAATTAGATTTTGTAGCATTATCATATTTCAGAAGTTTTATTCTGTTGATTCCAATATTTTGTCCACCAATACATTTTTTAGTCTTTTAATTTGAATTGGTTTAACAATACTAACTGATCAAATAGCATGTGGGTCTTCCTTTTGAGTTAATTTTCTTGCTTTGGCACTTTGTCTATACAGTCATGTGATGCTATTTCAGGCAACAAACAAGCCACATATACAAGTGGTCCCATATGATTAAAAATTCCAATCATCCTGTATTTTTACTGTACAATTTCTATGTCTAGATGTTTAGACACAAATATTTATCATTGTGCATTATAGTTGCGTACAGTAATCTGTATAGTAATCTACAGTAATCCTGCATTATGCAGGTTTGTAGCCCAGGTTTGTTTAAGTACACTATGAGTTTGCAGAGTAATAAAATGGCCTAACAACGCATTTCTCAGAACTTACCATGTTAAGCAACAAATGACTGTATTTGATTGTATGATGAATATTTTGTATACTATAATCTAGACTGAAGTAAATATTGCTTACATCCAAAATGAATATGCTCATTTTTATGTTTTCAGCAACCTGAAAGCAGTGGCTTAATTAATGTGATTCATCTGTGACCTGCAGCTGGGCTGACCTGTAGCTTTAGATTGGTTAAATTGAAGGTAGAATGGGAATATTCATGTCCACAGGGTTTTTGGTTTGCCCAACAGCCAAGCCACCAGGTTTTAGAAATATACATCTCTTTTAGCTTCATAACCTCGTTGCCAGGTTTTATTTCATCCCAGGAGAGGGAACAAGATGGTTCTCTTGGCTCTCCAGGCTTTTAGTAATGTTTCAGAGGAATGGCCACAATACCCGGGAGGGTGGGAGTAGGAGATGAGTCAACTAGCCTGCTGATCCTTCCAGTCCCCAAATGTCAAGAGTTCCTCTGATGGGTTTCTTGGCTAACCTACCTTACCTTCTCACTTGTAAAAGGTATTTTACACTTGGAAAAAGCTTCTTTTGCCTGAGGCCAGTGGCGTATCTCTCTCAGCTTTCTTGCCTCCCTGTTTTCTGTAATACTGGTTAAGTGTAATGGATAATCACAGGCTTCCTCTTTGCATTTGGGTCTTCCAGATAGATATTATTGTCATACCAGCCTCCAGAGAGATGCTAGACCTCTCTCTATTGATATTTTCTTTTACCATAGTTCAACATGAAGTACAAGCATCCATGGCTCTCTATTCTCCTTTGAAAGACTTAGGATTTTTTTCTTTTTAAAATAGGTTAGCCTCCTCAGATTTCCAATGAGTTAAAAATATTTTTAAGCTGGGCTCCAGTGGCTCAGCTTGTAATCCTAGCTACTCAAGAGGCTGAGATCTGAGTTCAAAGGTAGCCAGGGCAGAAAATTCTCTTTAAGACTCTTATTATGCAGTTAGCCTGCAAAAAGCCAGAAGTGGAGATGTGGCTCAGATGGTAGAGTGTCACCCTTGAGCTAAAAAGTTAGCCAAGGGAGAGCAATAGACTGTGTGTTCAGGTCCCAGTGTGTGTGCACGCGCACACACATACACACACATTTCAACTGTACAGAAGGAGTAAAGAGTCTACTGTTCTTTTGCCCCTGCTACTCACTTTGAGTATTTTGAATATCCTTCCAGAAATGAGTATATAACCAATTATGTAATATTCCTTTCTTTTTAGTAACATACTATATGCATTTCTCTGTATTTTTCTTTCTTTTACCATTATACCTTAGCAATTCTTCAATATCAGTATGTAAATAGTTACTCCTCCCTTTTTTCATGTGTCACAGAGAATGGATTTCATATATCTCCTGTTATTGGTATTTAGGTTGTTTCCTGGCTTTGGTTTATAACAAACAATCCTACTTTGAATACTTTTGTATTTCATGTCATTTCCTACATCTATATCTACAGAATAAATTGTTACAATTGAAAGAATTCAGTTTAAAAGGTTATGTACATTTGTGTGTGTGTGTGTGTGTGTGTGTGCCAGTACTGGGGCTGGAACTTGTGGTCTTGCATTCTTGATTGGTTTTTCATTCAGTGCTAGCACTTTACCACTTGAGTCACAGCTCTATTTCTAGCCTTTTTTTATGTGTGTGGTTGTGGGGCTTGAACTCGGCCTGGGCACTGTCCCTCAGCTCTTCAGCTCAAGGCTAGCCCTCTTCCACTTGAGCCACAGCACCACTTCCAGCTTTCCGAGTGGTTTATTGGAGATAAGAGTCTCACAAGCTTTCCTGCCCAGGCTGGCTTTGAACCGTGATTCTCAGATATCAGCCTAGTATTACAGGTGTAGCTAGTATTACAGGTGTGAGCCATCGGCACCTGGCTCTATTTCCAGCTTTTTGTTACTTAACTGCAGATAAGAGGCTCATGGATTTCCCTGCCCTGGCTGACTTCAGCCCACAAACCTCAGATCTCAGGCCTGAGTAGGATTATAGGTGAGAGCCACTGGCACATAGCTTGGTTCCATGCATTTATAATTTGGTAGTTATTGCTGAGTGGATTTTAATGCAGATTTTCCCAATTCATATATCCACAGTTGAATGTATGTTCCCTCACATAAGATTTTTTTTTCTTGCAGGTTGTGAGGCATGGACTCAGTGCCTATGCACTCTCCCTGAGCTTTTTTGCTCAAGGATAGTGCTCAACCATTTTGAGCCACAGCTCTACTTCTGTTTTTCTGGTTGTAAAATTGGAGATAAGAGTCTCATGGCCTTTCCTGCCCCAGCTGGCTTCAAACCTTGATCCTCTGATCTTCCCAGTAGCTGGGATTATAGGCACTGAGCCACTAGTACTTGGAATAAAGTCTTATTTTCATGTGTAAGAGCTATTTTTTGTGCTTCATTGATATTCATAAACTTTGCTTATCTAATGTCTGACTGATCCCTATACTCTAAGATAGTTCCTGTGTGTGTGTGTGTGTGTGTACTCATGGCCATGCAGATGGTGTGTATTTTATCGCATAGTTGCAGGCATTAAAAAAGGTTGGGGGCTGGCAGCGTGGCTTAGTGGTAGAGTGCTTGCCAACATGCCTGAAGCCCTGGGTTCAATTCCTCAGTACTGCATAAACAGAAAAGCCAGAAGTGGCCTTGTGGCTCAAGTGGTAGAATGCGTGCCTTAAGTGAAAGAAGCTCATGGACAATGCCCAGGCCCTGAGTTCAAGCCCCAGGACTGGAACACGAACACACACACACATAGTCAGGACTAGAATTGAAGTTTTGACTACAAAGCCTACATATGTTTTTCAAATGTAAAAAAACTAAGAATTTAATTCAATTTTCAGGTGGACCAAGTAAGTAACGTCAGAACACACTATCATGTAAGGTGCCACGGCTCACATTTGTAATTCTAGTACTCAGAAGGTTGAGCTCTGAGAATGGGAGTTTGACGCCAGCTGGGGGAGAAAAGAGACTAAGATCTCCAATTAATCACATAAAGCTGGAAATGGAGGTGTTGCTAAAGTGGTAGAGCATCAGCCTTGGGAGGAAAAAAAATAAAGGTCAGTGGCCGGGTGCTGAGTTCAAGCCCCAGGACTGGCCCCCCAAACCAACTGAAAGCATACTGGGATTTTAGGACTAAGGGCAAAGACGGAACTAATGTTTACATGTTACCTACGATCCAAATGTCAGATCTATTTTTCTGCCGGGCTGGGAATGTAGACCCATGGTCGGCTCCATTCCAGAGATCAAGTTTCTCACCGAATCTTCTGATTTTTAAAAATAAAAATATTGCCAGGGCTGGGAAGGGGGCTTAGTGGTAGAGGCTTGCCTAGCATGCATGAAGCCCCGGGTTCGATTCCTCAGTACCACATTCTCGGAAAAAGCCAGAAGAGGTGCTGAGGCTCCAGTGAGCAAAGAGAAGACAGTGACCATCAAAAGTATGTAGGGCTCAAAGTCGAGCCCCCAACCTGGGCCTTGGCCTGGGGGCGCGCTCCGGGCCTCGGCCTCGCCTGGGGGT